CTGTTATCTTTAGAAAGATTGAATGTGGGATCTCCTTGTTAACTTAGCTGCTAGATCTTGACTCTTAAGTGTACCGAAGGCTGGGCCTGCAGAAGTAAACCAGTCAATCTCTAGTGTTACGCGACATTCGTCCATGCATGAATGGGGATGTCTGCGATGCGCAACCAGTAACACGGGAACTGAATATTAGAATCATTAGGCTTCTGGGACCACCATTATAGCATCATTAATACTCCATTAAATCTCAAGAATTGTTGCTTAACAATTCTTCTCGCTTCATCAACTTTGTTGGCAATGGAGTGGATGGCTTTGCTGACTTGCAGTTTACTGTTTCTATGATGTGTAGTCTAGTAATTTGAGTGGGGGATCCAGTTTCTTAAGGCCAAGCCAGTGCATCTACAAATGAGGGCCTCTTAATAAATCTATTTTTGAGATGGATTTCAGGACTTAATTTTTAACGATATGGAATCTCTAACATGGAGATCATGAATATGAAAATATAAATAAATTTTAAAAATTAAAAATGATCACTCTAGTAAGAAAACATTTGGACCGTTAGGTTCCATTGTTTTTAGATGGTACACCTACTTTCATCCATCTTTAAGATGGATGCTTTGAACTTTTTGGACCGGATATGTAGAAATGCGGTCTAGCCCTCATAGAACAATTTTTTTTAATAAAAATATAAAAAAATAATTGAAAATAAATAAAGATCCGGTTTCTAGTAAAAAACATTTGAACCGTTAGTTTCCATTGTTTTTAGATGGAACACCTACTTGCATCCATCTTTAAGATGGATGCTACAGAGTCAGTTTGGATGTCAAATAAAAATACCTTCACATTGAAAAAAATTGTAAGTTTTTCATCCTCTATTAAGAAATATTATCATTTTTTTTTATTAGTCTGTTAGACTGTTTGGATGGTGTGAATATATTAAAAGCAAATTTGCATCCTACCCTTCCAAAATTGTCTTGCCAATCCAAAGACATTTGCATCCAACCCTTCCAAATGTCTTGCCAATCCAAAAATTTGCTTATACAATATGCATAACTTGCCACCCGAGCTTCTCGCATACAAAATTGAGCTCTAAAATGGGGCATATTGATCCCCTAGTTTTGACCATGGCCCAAGTGCTCCCACTTGAAATACTCATTAGGATCTTGAAGGGTGCACTCTTGCAAATATCGGAGGGGATTGTCGCGTTGCTCGCCAGTGACACAGTGAACCACTTCAATGGAAATGCAATTTTGTATTGAAGCAGTTTTGGGGCTCGACTGAACTCTGATTGCTCAAGGGTTTTGTGGAGGTATAGGGCTCCGAGGAGCTGAAACAGGGGTGTGCGAAGGCCTGGCGGATGGTGAATCTTTTTGCTAAGTAACTATTCCAATAATTTTTTGAATCCAGTGATTAGATAGAATAATTATGGGGCTTTGGATTACACGAAAGTAGTGGCGATTTTAGAGAAGATGAGATATTCAAGGGTAAAGATATTGTATGGGAGATTTGGGGTGAGGGGGGCCAAGCAAAGCCCTTCAGAGAAGATGAGGGATTTAAGGGCAGAGAGATTGTTTGGGAGCTTTGGGGTGAGGGCGGCCAAGCAAAGCCCTAAGAAAGAAGAAGTCTTTGGATGTGCTGATTAGGAGGTTTCAATATGCTGCCTAGGACTTGCCATGGATGGTGTTTGAGCTTGTCTGGAATTTTAGGAGAGCATGCTCTGCATATTCGATAAAAGAAGGGGTTTCATGGTATGAGATAAAAGATTAGTTTTGTACAGTGAGAAAGTGCCTAGGCTTATAAAGATGCCGCGTAGGGCCAGTGGCTTGAGATTTTTTTCTGGTTTTGTAGAGAGAGAAAATGAAAATTCTCTCCTCATTCAAGAAGAGAAGGGGTTTACATAGGTGTGCTATGAGAGAAAAGGCTCCCGTTTTGAACGGGTGAGAGAAGGCCGCACTTTCATTCGAAAAAATTCAGATCTTATTTGAATTGTTTTGGATGGTAACTTTTGCTTTGATATGGTAGTAATTTTTTCTTTCAATCTAAAATCAGTAAAATCGAGTAGTTGTCGAAACGTGTCAAAGTTGGTTTCACATAATTTTTGGATTGTAATTAAGAAATATTTTAATTTTGGGTACATCCAAACTTGCACTTACACTTTTTGGACCGCATATGTAGAAATGCGGTCCAACCCGCATGAAACAATTTTTCATTATAAAAAAGAAAAAGTTTATATAGGGTTGCAACCTTAAAATATAGAATTACATATGCACTTCAAAAAAGAAAGTTGTTTCATGTGGACTGGACCACATTTCTACATATGCGGTCCATAAGTGTAAAGCATCCATCTTTAAGATGGATGCAAATAGGTGCTCCATCTAAAAACAATAGAAACTAACAGTCCAAATGTTTTCTTACTAGCATTGTTATTTATAGCTTTTAAAATTTATTTATTTTTTCATATTCATGATCTCCACGTTAGAGATTACATATCATTAAAAATTAAATCTTAAAATCCATCTTAAAAACAGATTTATTAAGAGGCCCGCATTTCGACATATGCAGACTTAGCTGCATATAAACTGGGTCCCCACAAAAATCCAATAGAAAAGGTTGTTTTAATGTTGAAAAACACTGTAATTGATCATCCAGACATCAAGATGTCTGAATATATATATATATATAAAAAAAAGAAAAACATTTTGAGTCTCAGAAATAGTGCCTTTTGCAACAAATTATCTAGCCCGTCCATTTTTCAAGATTTTCATATGTTATCTCTACTTGATTTTAACTATTTTTAGATTTTAAAATTTTATAATTAGATATGAAAATAGATATTCAGATCATCTTAAAATTGGATGGTTTAAGGTTGCAACCTTATAGAAACCACACCCTTATAAAAATACACCTTTATTTTTAAATTTATTTGGAAAAAACCCAATTTTTTGAAAACTACGTCCATACCCATTTTTTTTCTGTTCATTTTTTTTACCTAAAATACCATTCATAGATCTAATAGAGCCGTAAAGGACATCAAGGGTCACATAAGCCTGGATTGCTCATAAAAAAACCGTCCTCATGCCCTTTCTGCTTTCATTTCAGACCCCTAACCCTCTCTTCCTCATGCACTCTCTGTTTCTCTCTCACAGCACCCCCTTCTTCCTCTCCCTCTCCCTCTCCCTGCCTCTCTCAATTAGCACCATGTCTCCTCCCTCTCCCTATCTCTATCCCTAACAGCACTGAAAGCTCTTTCTCTCTCTAACAACATTACAGAGGCAAAAGAGGGATCACTCTAGAACACACAAAGATGTTAATCTCTCTTCCCTGGATTTTCTTATGTTGATTGCAATGTTTTGTTGTTTTTATTTTTTATTTGGCTATAACATTGGAACACTTAAAAGATAAGAATGTATTATATATTTATTTATTTATTTTGTGTATCTTTTGTCTTAATTGTCTAATAAGATTTCATGTTTCCTCTTTTTTTGTACTCGGTTTTCTTAAACCCATCATGACTTTAGTAGGACCGTGATGATATGTCCCTAACGTCTTTATCATGCTAAAAACAAGTGTAATTATCCGTCTAAATGTTTTTTTTAATATAATTATTATTTATAGTTTTTAATTATTATTATTTTTTTCATATTTATGATCACCATATTAAAGATTATATATTCTTTAAAGTTTAAGATTATTTAAAAAATATATTTATTGTCAAGTCCACATTTTTACAATATACGAGCTGGCCGCATAGAAACCGTGTCCTCCTGTAAATAGCTGGTATTCACGAGCATCACAGTTTTGGAAACATTGTTGGAAAAATCGCCCGATCTAGCCGGTAACCGCTCGGTTAGATCAGAACCAGCTACTGGCCGGTTTCGGTTTCAACCGGTTTTGGTGACTGGCCGAGGCTTTTTTTAAAAAAAATTAAACAAAATTATACAAAATCCAAAAAAAATAAGAGATTTTTTTTGTAATATATTTTTAATGTTTTCATCATTATAATTGAAATTTAAAATTGTTTTATCCACTAATATTTGTTTTTATATTTTTCCATCATTTTTTTAAAAAATTTAAAAATACTTCTAGACACAAATCGATTATTTAAAATTCATTTTTTTCATTAAATTTTCAACTTGATTTGGATGTGCTTTGTTTAATCATTCTTTCAATATACTTTTCATATTTTAGTATATTGTTTTTGTAATTTTTTTATTTTTTTGAACATTTTTTTGACCATTCAAGACTTACTGGGTAGAATAGTTGAACCAGCCGGTTTATCAGTTGCGCCGGTTGAACCACTTCTAGGCCCATGTCTGGTTAACTGTTCCTATTTGATTTTTCCAACACTGCCTAGAAAAAAAGGGTATTTTACGAAATAACTTAACAGCAAAAAAAAAACGCTATGAACATATTTATAAAAGAAGGTGTGGTTTCTATAAGGTTGCAACCTTAAACAATCCAAATAAGGCGTACCTCCAAAATTTATCATTACATGTAAACATTCTTAAGATTATCTCAAAATCTATTTTCATATCTAATTACAAAATTTTAAACTCCAAAGAGGGTTAAAACCAAATAGATCTATAAACATTTGAAAATATAGAAAATGGATGGTCTAGATAATGTGTTGCAATATGCGTTCTTTAAAAGACTCAATTTTTTTTTTTTTCATATTCATACATCTCGTTATTGAGATGATTGATTAGTGGAGTTTTCAACATTAAAACAACCATTTTTCATGGATTTTTGAGGTGCATCTGTAGTATAAACTTTTTCTTATAAAAAAAATAAGGTTTTTTTTTTAAATAAAAAGGATATTTTTGATAATTTCCTAAACATAAAATATCCCATATGACTAGTGTCTTTCACCACCGTCCATCTATGTGTTGGACAGTGATGAAGGAGAGATGTCATCGATTCTACTGATCACGTTAGGACTGCTCTCTCACGACCGTCAATGGGTTCTACAGCGATCGAGGAGAGTATGACGTAGAATTTAATTCAATCACCGTCCATCAATGGTTCTCAAAGACTTGCACATTGAAATTATAGATCGCTTACATTGCAGGGCAATTCACCCAATTCAGCTCTCAAATTCGTGTCTAAAGTTTAAAGCTGATTCTCTCACGAAAGTTGGAAACTTGGGGAAGATGAGGAGCTTGACAACGCTGTTTCTTGTGATTCTGGTTTCTCTTTCTTACAAGAGCTTTGCAGATAGGATATTGTCTGCTCATCCTGGTATGTTTATGGCCTTCCTTTTTGTATTTCTCAGTTTTTTCCAAGTTTTTTGGACTTTTTCGATCATGGGGGTAAATCAATCGAATCCTTTGGTGTTGCTACTCATAATTAAAAAATCCCAATTAACATTCCTGTTCAACTGTGTAATTGGTTCCTCTCTATTTAAATGGGTCCTTGTGTTTCATGAGCATTATGTTTTGCTTTATGCTGTGAGCTTTTTATTACTTCCAATTTCCTTGCTATGGTTGGTTTGTAAAACATCTTACTTTGGGGTGTTTATTATTATTTTTCCATATCGTTTTCAGAGGTTGATATGTTCGATTAATTGGAGAGGTTTTTGTTCCATTAGAATTGATTAATTTTATGGAGATCACAATGATAAATATAGAGTGCCTCCACATTGAGGGACATCTAAATTGGGAGTTCTCTCCATTAGTACGGAATTTGGCTGTTAAAGATACTTAACACTCTTTAGATTTTCATTTTATTTGTTAATTCCATCTATTGAGCAGCATATGGAAAACCCATGTTATTTGGTGAGTGACCAGCTATGGGAAGTCAAGAAAACCACATCTTTATGCCTTTAAGAAGCACTTGCATCTGTAGTGTCATGGATTCTTAGATTTTCTTTTTCATCCTTGTGGTTTTAATTATTAAGAAAGCTGAGTGAGGTGTTGGGATCTAGTGAGAAGCAAATACTTGATGAGGGTTGGGTGCTTACAAAGTATGTATTTTGAGTTCATCTATTATAGAGATGTCCTTGCGATGAGACTTAAGTTTCTCTTTGGTAAGTTCAAGCGGTCCTTGAGATAATACTTAAGTTTCTCTTTGGTAAGTTCAAGCGGTCAAGGCATCTAGTTTTATGGAGAAGGGAAGTAATGATGAAAGGAAAGATCACCAGCCTATTATAAACTAAGCAGCAAGGACGATAAACTCTTATCAAATCTGTTATCTTCTCGTGGTGCTTTTTGTGACTTGTTGTACTCATATAGGTTTCAAACACATTGCAACAGGAAGTGAGCATGTAAAACTACTTTGACGAAAACCTATGCACAGGAGAAGCCTTTATGACATGTATTACAAACTTTCTCGACACTAATGTAGTTATCTTCAAAAGAGAAAATAAGGAAAGATACGCATAACCATATGAATTATTTATGGACAATGTCAAAAGGTAGAGAAGTTTAAAGGAAAAGTAACATGTTTAAGATAATAAATGGCTGTCCTTCATGTCTAGACCCTTCTGGATGCCCTTTAAGATAGACATCCACTTGAATCCTTGCATATCGATTGGTCTCTTAGGCATTATAACGTATCATACTTGGTTTGCTTGCCAGTTATTTGAGTTATGGATAGTGAATTAATGGTCTGTATGTTCCATCATTTGTGCGACGACATATTGAATAGAGATTATTAGGGAATGCTATCTCTTCCATTTGTGATGATATGCATACATTATCATTTTTATTTGGACTAAATGCTCAGACTCCTTTGTCTTAAGTGAAAGTTATTTCCTGAACCCTCCTCATTGTAAGTTGTTAGAGACTACTGGTTTTTGGCAAATGAATGAAAATGTTATATCTGTCAGAGTATCTTTATCATTGTAAGTTGTGATTTTGTAAATACATCGAAGAAATTGAATGAAATCTTAATGTCTTCTCAATGAAACTGAATGATACCTCAATGTCTTTGCCACATTGAGCTTCTGTGTCTTCAATAGCCCAATTACATACGTATGCATTTCGTGCTGCAGTATGTTGTGTGTCATGTGGCTGTATATAAGCAGATTAAGATAAGAGTGCTGATGTTATCCATTTTTATCAAAGAGTTGATTACTTATTGAGTCAAGCTTTCCTATAATATCCAACTTGTGATATTTATCGCATTTGAAGAATCAAATAGTGACGAACCATTTGCTCTGTGAACCAGGGTGACCTTTCCCCTTTTAAATGTCCTTATGGAATTGTCATCCATGTTATCTTTTGGTATTTAGTGATTTACATGCCTAGGTGTGAAGTTCTTATAGGACAGCTTAATATAGTGATCAGCAATGCCTTTCCTGGTTTATTACCTTTTGATAGTTTACTGGGCATGTTATGTAATATGATGTTTTGTAACCTATTTTATACTATTGATCAGCAGGTGAGACATTTGGTCGTAGCTCTCGAGAACCAAAGTACAGGATGGATTATCATTCAGTAGAGTCTCCTTTTACTCCTGTAAGTTGGCTTCTTAAATAGTTTTCCTCTGTGATTTGATGGAGAAATCTACATGTGTCTTTGGGAAAGTATATATAGTCCAATGGACTATGGAAAACCATAGACTATTGGTCATCATAAGAGTGGGACCACCAGAAGAGATAATGACTCCAATGGTGGGTCCACTCACTATATATCTCATCAGACAGTGATGACCACAGTGGATTTTCAATAGATCATCGGGTTACAGTATGATTTCCCCGTATCTTATCATACTAGATTTTTCTAGCCAGTTAAGCTTGCAAATGGGCCTACTACATTCATATTAGCTTGATATTTGTAGTCAGAAACATCTTCCTGATGTTTGGGAACTTGATGAATGCTTTTACTGCTCATTGAATTTGCACATCTTGAGTTATTTGGATATCTTGAAATGTTCCCCGCTATTAAATTATTTTATTTTAGGGAAAATTATGCTAATATCTCTTTTATTTTGGCATTAAATTTGTTCCCCATTTTACATATTTTATGTTAATGTCCCTTTTTTTTTTGTAAGTTTTTAATTTTTCCCCAGAATATCCCTCATTCGGAACTTGAAGTTCCAAACTGGTTTTAGGATGAATCAATAACCGGTTTGGAACTTTAATTTCAGAACCCACCTCACTAGAAAAACGCAAGTCATGGATTTGGAACTTGAAATTCTGAAGCAGTTAATGGTTCTTTAACTGGATAACCTGTTCAGAACTTCAAGACTACTTATACAAATTAGTCAGTTTGGATCTTGAAGCTCGGAAAATGCAATTCAAAAGAAAAAAAAAGAAACAATCCAGTTTGGAGGTAGTTCTATAGAAAGTAAAAAAAAGGCCAAGAAAGGGGACATGAGGAATATTATCATAAATTTTCTTTAATTTTAATTTATTTACTTCTCTTTTTTTTTGGGTTTTCTTTTTGACAATTGTTGGAACTGCCTTAGAAATAACTTAAAGATTCAATTTTTCCAGCTCACATTTACCCAGCTGGTCGCACCCCTCCCTCTACATTTTACATAAGGAATCTCCTCCCATTCCAAAAGAAGATGAGGAAATTTGTTAGAGTCATCCAAAAGAAGTAAGGTGTTTCTCTCTAGCCTCAAGGCCAACCTTCACCTCCCTGGCTATTGTCTGAAGGTCATCTCTGTTTTCCCCAAGTTTCTCTCTCTCTCTCTC